TTATTATATACTTTGCTATATAAGTTATATTTTGATGAGAAATTATAACAGAAATAAATGTATTAATTTGTAACTCAATTTGTTTTCTATTAATTTGCGCAATAAATATTTACAATAATTACAAAAACAATCATTAAGATGTAGTTTCGTTCTTTTGTAGATAAAAAAAAGTTGTTTAAATTTAAACGTCAATTATTGTATTATATACATACAAATGAACACAGAGCCGTGGCTAGGCTCCCCCACACCCCCAATTGGGGGGCCTAGCATTTTAAGGGGCCCTTTTCAAAAATTAAAAAAAAAATTGTATTTTTTATAACAAAATTTTTAAATATATATAGTTACTATTAATAAAAAAACTTGGTCTTTTAGTCACAATATTACTAGAGTAAATAAAGCAGTTACATTTTTAATGCAAAAAAAAAAAAAAATTAACACTCCCGAGGTCTGAATTATATTATAAAACGCAAGCTTTATAAATTTATTATTTTTATTTTGCGATTTTCGAATTGATTTTTATTATTATTATGCGTTGTTAGTTTTTTGTATCATAAAAAACAAACAATGAAAGAAGGTTTGCAAAAATTTATATTTATCTTTCGTTAGTTTTTCACAATATAAATATTGGTATAAAAAAAGTGAAAAGTAGTGCGACTAAGAGAATAGAAAAAGCTGCAGCCAGGGAGGAAACCACAAAACACCCCAAACTAACACATTTTTTAAAACCAGCAGTTTAGCCTGGACGTGTTTCGATACCAACAGAAACTACAAATTATTATGATTGTCATTATTTGAATACTATCAGGTATTCAAATAATGACAATCAGGAGTCAGGTAGGTTGGTATGTGAGTCTACATCAAATGACATAACAATTCCGTCTATTTTTCTCAGCGATGATTCTTCTGAGTATATTCTTATATTTTCAGAATATATTCTCAGAGTATATTATTCTATTATTTTAGATTGTACGCCATGCATTTTGCATAAAGAACAAATGAGCATTGGTCATCTATCAGTGCAGTTTTGTTTTTAGGTGTTCTTTCAAGGTTATATACACTCTTTTCATTTTCTCCTCCTCGATAGGAAATTTTAAAATTGTGCGTGGCTATTTTTGTCTAACCACAATCAGATACCAGATAGGAAAGTAGAATAAACTGTGTTAAACCACTTAACTGTTATTTAAAAGAAATCTTAGAGGCACTCGAAAGTTTGGGAAAAAATGGCTTAAAAAAGAGATAGGGTTACAGCCACAGAAGTACGATCGCTCGCGGAATATATTAGAACATGACCTTTTTTTATTACCAATCGTTACTTGTTATGATGTTTTATTTCAAATCAACAAATCAAGTAAGGTTTTTCAGTGTTCTGCAACCTCTCTCGATATATTAGCTAGTAAAATAAAGGCAACATATACATTTCCTTATGAGTATTGCAAAAATGGATTTTCCGACGCACGCATCAGAAATTGCAAAAGTATTGGATATTAAAAAGGTTTACCAATAGTATGTTTACGAAAAAAAAAATGCCAATTTATTCATAAGAGTATGTTGATCACACTCGACAACCTGAATATCAGTATAAAGCATTTTTTTCCCCATTAACTGATATGTCAATTGGATCAGTAAAAAAGCGTTTTAAACAGATCAGTATTGTCACAAAGTTTAATGACTTTCTTTACCAATCTGAAAGTCTTATCAAAGCCTGTAATGAAAGTTCTTTGTCTATAAATTGCAAAAGTTTGCAAATGAAGCTTGGTGATATAGACTTTGAGGATTTAGACATGGAGTTAAAACGATTTTTTATAGTTAACAAGGTTGAAAAAAATGCCTCAAAAAAGAGCTGCAAAAAACTTATCCCAATCTAGTTGTTGCATTACGAACCATTCTTACTTTATCAGTTACTGTTTCAAGTGTAGAACGTAGCTTTAGCAAGTTAAAACTAATTAAAACTTTTCATAGGTTAGTATAAATAATCTTGAATCATTACACATAAATACATGTATTTATGTGTAATGATTCAAGATTATTTATACTAACATAAATACATGTATTTATGTATATATAATCTTGAATCATTACACATAAATACATGCTATATTTCTTTGTATGTTTAAATAGGTCAACAATGGTCGATGAACGTTTGTCTTCTTTAGCAACGCTGTCAATTGAAATCGAGGTTGCAAGGAAATTAAGTTATGAAGGCATAATAAATGAGTTTGCAAGCATGAAAATTGTTGCAAACCCTTTTTTTTAATAGTTTGCGACGTACTTGTATTATTTGCGTAATACATTAACTGTATTTAAAAAAACTCTTTACTAGTAAACTCTATATCAATTTAACAACTATAAAATATATTTAAATGAATTTAAGCGTTAATTGTTTTTAGTCTTATGAACGGCGACGTTAAAATATTTCAGGTACCATGCTTTTTGGGGTAGTCTGTAAATGTTATCCACTTTTTTAGAAAGAATAAATAAAAAATTAGGGCCCAAATTACTAGTTTTGGGAGGAGGGGCCCAGACCTATTTGCCACGGCACTGAATGAACATAATATTTTTAAATTTATAATATGAAATTCTTAATTTTTTTCTGTTTATAAAAAAAAATAAATATTGTTTTATTTTTTATAAAAGAAAAACTAAAGATAATTTGATAGTTCAAATATCGCAACCTCTAATTTAAGAATATTAAATCATTGCGTCCAGGGCAATTCTCTCTTGCCTTCCTTTAAACCCTCCCTCCCCCCGCCCTCTTGCGCTATACTACTGGGTAGGGCCGCCAAGAGAAGCTTCGACCCTTGAGGAAGTTTTCTTGATGAGATATCGTTAAATGATAAATCATAAACCCAGGACTAGAGTTGCGAAGGTAACATTTACCGGAAAATTTTCCGGTAAAAAAAATTTCCGGAAAATTTACCTTCTATTTAAAATTTACCGGTAATTTTACCGGTAAATTTTGAATCAAATTTTACCGGAAAATTTACATCACTACTCAGGACCGCCAAAAAACGGTTCCGGGCCCGTTTAAATCTTATGAAGTTATTTGTAATTCAATTATTTACTAAAATAAAACTTTTAAAGACGTCTCTTATATACATAAAACAGAATTTTGATGCATAATTTAAAAATATATAATACCATTTATATAATGATTTTGTATTACGAAAAAAAAATTGGAAGTAAAAACATGGGTTCCAGTATTATTCCCCGTCCCCAACCTTTCTCCTCAGGCCTGTGTACGGTTTGTATGGAATATATTGTGTTCTTTTATATAAGTTTTTTCTAAACCAGAGTAAGTTATTATCTTATAATCCATAATTTTTAATTTCAAGTTATATAAGTGCATTTAAGTTACTTAGAAAAGCATGACAAAAGCAATATTGGCCCGATAAATACCAATAAATACCGATAAATTTTTTTTACGATACAAGATTATAACTTTATTTGTTATAGTTTCAGAGTTTTATTAGTTAAAACGATAGTTTTAAGTGAAAAATCAATGTTTTCAATGGAAACTCGTAGAAGATTAAGTCTTTACATCGAGCATCAAAATTTTTCAAATTAAATCTTACATAAAAGTAATTTTCTTGGTTACGTCAATTCCAGACAAAAGTTCTTTTACAATTTTCTTTCTTTTGTTCAGCTGTTTTACAATGAAAAAAAATTGCATCTAGAATTTCTTAGAAAAGGCTTTATAAAAAAAATTGACGATTTCATACTTTAGAAAGTTTGTCATACTTAGTTTGAACGTTATACTAACTTTTATGGCTATATTGTCTACTCCTTTTGCAATTTAAAAAAGTTTTGAGTAGAAGCTTATTTAACCAAGCATATTGTTAGATGTTTAATTAACCAAGCATTTAATTAGATTAATCAATTTTTTTATTATATTAACATATACCTAATTATTACGTTAACATATAAAATTAATAAAAATATTTTTTTCTTTCTACTATAAGCAATTAAAAATTTTATGGGCTCCATTTGTTTCCGTGTCGTCAATATTTTTCGTGCGTCCATGGTTGAACCTTAGACTTGTTATTATTAATTCCAGTTGCTTATTTTAACATTAAATATACACCGTTTGAACGTCAATAAAAAAAAATAACTTTTTATTAAAGTTTAAACGTCACTAATCTATTTGATTTTTACTCTAGAAAAATTTGTTATTTTTCTATTAATTTTTAAACGCAAATAAAATCGATCTGGATATATTTGTTATAGAGTTTAAAACTATTGTAGCATGAAGCTATAAAAAGAAAAACTACTTATTTTTAATTGTATTTAGAATTACTTTAGTTTAGGCTCTAAACGTTAGTCACTCAAATTTTTGAAACTTTAAAATGGTAGGGTAACTTGTTGACTTTAACAAAAAATGCTATTTTTGTTGAGTATAATTTTTTTTAATTTATAGTGAAGTTATTTAATTTCTGATAAGATATTTTATTAAATAAAATATTAAAGTTATTATTTTAAAGGAAAAAAATGTTTTTTTTTTTTTTAATTTAAAAAATACGCTTCAAATTAATAAATTCTATTTATTTTTTTAAATTTTAACACCAAATAGGATACCTTGTTATATATATATATATATATATATATATATATATATATATATATATATATATATATATATATATATATATATATATATATATATATATATATATATATATATATATATATATATATATATATATATATATATATATATATATATATATATATATATATATATATATATATATATATATATATATATATATATATATATGTATATATATAACAATTATATAAAGTTTAACAATTAGTATTAATATCTAAAGAGCTTGACTTCTAGTCTCTAAAAATATATAATAATTCTAAAATAAGCCTAAAACAAAATCGGCGGAAAAAAAAGTTTAAATTACCAAATATTTTCAAAATGGGTTGAGTTTTTCTTTGTTCATGTTTTCCAACATCCGATATGACATCAGCCAATCTTTTTTTGGCTCAAAATCGCGTCAGTCACATGATGTAAATACGCATCTATAAATTTTTTTGATAAATCACAAATCCAATATAAATGTCTATTATATATTATAGGGTATAATATCATTTGATGTAATGGGATTCTTCGCTTTTTTTGCATTTATTTCTATCTTTTCTATTACCTACTGCAAGCCTTATGGAAAAGATCATAATGTAATTCAAACTTACTTCAGGTAAGTTTTAGAAAAAAAATAAATTTTTAAACCTTAACTGAAACTTATATACACAACTAAACATACACGCACACACACATACAGACACACACGCGCATAAACACACCCAATTTATTTTTATATAAAATGCTTTAATCTTTTAACTTGTTTTCATTTTTATATAATATGTAGCCAAATAGTTTTTTATTTGTTAATACAAACCTAGTCTATTTACATTTTCTATGAAGTATTTTGAGTATATGTGTAATTTTACAATAACGTGTTATTACAAGATAGGAGCAACCAGATATTTATTTTTCAAGTTTAAAGTTAACTTTATACTACTTTACTATTTTCCAAATCAACTTTATGCTATTTTACTTCTTAATTTTAAATATGTTTTTATGTCCTTCGAAATTTTTTAGATTTGTTTTTGGAAATAGAGAAACTATTGCATATTGTCTAGGCCATTAGTGTCACTTATCACTTTGTTTTGGACAAAAAAAAATTAGATAAATGATCTTATACAAAATGATATATTGGTAAAGAAACTCTATTTTCTAAAAACATAAAATAATTTTTGAGAAATTTACTAATTTATCATTACTAATGTTATATTAATCAATTAAAACATTTTAATAATAGAAAACTATTTTTAAAAAAGCTATAAAATTGTGTGTGTATATATATATATATATATATATATATATATATATATATATATATATATATATATATATATATATATATATATATATATATATATATATATGAAATAAAGTATTTTTTACTAATGTATCTATTGTATTAGTATATAAAAATATACTACTTCTACTACTTCTACTACTACTACTACTACTACTACTACTACTACTACTACTACTACTACTACTACTACTACTACTACTACTACTTATATTTCACAATACTAGCACAATAGCTTGTATTACTAACAATGTTGTAAAATAATAATTTTACAATACAATCCTTTTACTTAATCTATTTGTTTTATAAATATATAATGAGCTTAATTTTTTTTAATAAATTTTAATGTGCAAAGCTCATTTTGTTTGCTTTTAATAATTAAATTTTCTTTTCAACAAAATGTCTTCATAAAGTCTTACACTTAAAATAAAACCAAAGAGTTGCTGTGAAATCGCAACATAAAAGCTTACATAATGAGGTTTATTCACATATCAAATGAATTATTGAGATGCTTGCATTTTTGATTTTTTAATAATTAAAATAAGTGTGCAACTAGATGCATCTAAAATGGAAACTTTATTTTCATGCTGGAGATTGATGAATCTGAGCTGATTTCTTGACAATTTTTTTTTTTGTTAAAGACATTTTTTTGTCTATTTGAAATTTCTAGTAAAAAGTTAACAAAATTATTAGTAACAAAACAGATTGTTGTACTTTTGTTCAGCTTGTTAATTTTATTATTTTACATTAGTTTTTGTATACTTACTGGGATCACCTCAAGCAAATACAGAATCATAAAAAGTGAAGTTGACAATTATATGAAAGATATAGTTGTACTGCTATCCATATACATTCTCAATGATTTGAACGTTTAATAAGAGTTTTTCAAGGTTCCACTTAATGCAATTCACCAAAATTCATGTTATTTGCATAACGACATTTTTACATTTTCAAATGAAAAATTTTTACACCAATTCTTGATTTGTGGGGAATTCATAAATCATATATATTTTTTAAAATGCCTGCTACATCATCTTTTCAAATTCCACTGTATAAAGGTTCAGTGAGGCGGCAACCTTTACGATTCGGTGTTAAACGAGTGCATGAAGAAAGTTTGCTAAAGCCTATGTATCAAATAGTTGAAATTGAAAGACACTCATACCCTATGATTAAATATACCAAAATGGTGACCAGTATCTCATTTAAATAATTGGTTTAGTGTCATTTTAAATAGAACTTTATACTCAAAGGAATATATCTTTGTTGAAGAATTTAGTACAATTATTTTTATAATACTTTGACTTTGAAATGATTGAACCAGTCAATTATATTTTTATAATATTTCAGTGAATTAAATTATAACTTCTATTGAAGTCTTTGAGTTAAGGAAATCAGTGTAAAATTTTAATTTTTCGAAATTTATGTCCATTTTTGTATTTTTTTTTTCAATTTCTATGAAACTCAACTTTATATGTTATATGTACATTTTATATTTTTTAAATAATAAAGTTGAAAAACTCTTTAAAAAATTAAAGATTAACTTTGACTGTTGGTGTTATTATTTTTTTTTTTTTAATTTCTTTGATAACTTTTTAAAATTTTTCTTTTTGGTGTAAACATGTTTGTTTAAATACTATAGTCTTTAACATTTTTATTTAACTTCAAAACTTGTTTATTTAATGTTACAATTTTGAAAATTGTATATATATATATATATATATATATATATATATATATATATATATATATATATATATATATATATATATATATATATATATATATATATCATTTTATCTGTGTGTATGCATGTGTTTATGTATGTATATATGTATGTATATATATATTATTCCTCAACAACATTAGTTTGATTTTTTTTGTTACTGAATTTTAATATTTGTGTTTGATTTTTATAGTTTTAAACTGTCTTTAAAAACTTTGATTATATACCATGTTAAAAAATTAGTTATGGTATAGTGTAGCCACTTTAATCATATAACAAAAAATTATATTCAAAGTCTTATTTAAAATTAGTTTATATTTTTAATTTGAAAATATATTCTGCCTGCTTTGTATTTGATTTTGTGTTCAGTATAAAACATGTCATAAAATGAAAATGAATCTCTTGGTCAAATAATTTATTAACCATAAAATTTTTAAAAATATATTTGTATAAAATATATTGTGCATTTTTAAAATATTTAATTTATTCTTAAATTATAATTATAACCTGATGAAAACAGGTAAATTTGTAATTAATGGTAACTAATATTTGAAAAAAATAAATATATGATTTTAATAATTTGTTTTTTTTTTTTACTTTGTTTGAACAAATCAAAAGTCTGAGGTTGCCATTGATAAAAATGCTATTATAGTTTTTTATATATTACAATAATGTATCACTATTGTTAGTCCACTATTATTAATCCCTTTCAATATTAATATTCCCATATATTTTTTGTGTTTTTACACAAAAGCATGAAAAACAGGGACCCTTGTTAATTTTATCATTTATTCACTTATTTTAACCCAGGCTTGGCTGTACTTAACAATTTATTCAATTCTTTTTTAAAGTTTAATGTCCATGTTTCCAAAGTTGATTGATTTAAACAAGTTTCCACAATGTCATTTTTTATTCAAATATGACATTGTATGACAGGAGAGTTTTTACTATTGGTTGCTTTTTTTTATTTTACATCAGAACCTATTTGTTATGTTACTAGTACTAAAGAAATTACTACCCAAGGATGAGCTCTTTCTATACCTACTATTAAAACTTACATACATTTTTTTTTTGTCTGTAGGTTACATATAAGATCATTCCATGCCTATTGTTCTACGAAAATTAGGGTTTCATCAGGGATCAACTCAGATTTTGATGAAACTTGGTGGGCCAGTTTATATAAATAAGAAAAGCAAGTCCTTAAAATTTCATTATAAAAATTTTTGCGGTACATGTCGTCATTTAAAATTTCTTTTTTTTGCAAAAAATGCTTTAGTAGCAAAAACATAATTTTGTTCATAATTTGATGCTCTCTTTTTTTTAAAACGAAATTTTAAAAAATCTTCTCTTTTTTTAATTATATGCAACTCTAGGCTTATTTATTGTTACATTTTATCCATAATGGCTACTTAAAAAATCTAATAAAATCATTTCACAAATCTAAAAAATTGTTTTTAGATTGGTCAATATACAAAATTGGCATTTTAGGATGTATTATTTCAAATTCTATATATACTAGGCTTGCTAATTTTTAAACACTGTCAAATGTAGCGTTGTGGTCAAACATATTTGACCAAATACAAATATCTTAATTCTAGATTCCCAAATTGAATTGCAAATATTTATAATCACTGTTTTCCATTTACAAACCTGAATAAAAACTATTTGTACTTTAGGTTAAGAAAAACACAAATATTTTTAAACTAAAGATCAACTTAACTTTATTTATAACTTAAATATTTATTTTTAAATATTTATTTAAATATTTATAACTTAAATCGTTTAACATTTTTTTGTTTGTAATTTTAAAGAAAAATTTAATTAAAGTAGTTCGTATTTTAAAAACATTTTTACTTTAAAAAAGCAAAAAAATAAAGACTCTGTAACTTACTGTATTTTACCAGAAAAATGTTTTTTTAACTTATTTTTTTATTGTATTTTTTATTTTTAACCTAATATGAAGTACCTGAAGTACAGTTACAAAAACTATTTGGTAAACAATTAATGAACTTGACAATAGATAAATATTGGTAAACTAGAAGACAGCATTGATAAAATGGTATACTAAATAGAACAATGAAAACATGTCTTTTAACAAATATCACTTAAAAAAAAAATTAAATTTATTTAATGTTACAATTAAAAAACAATATTTTTTACAACAATAACAAAAAAAAAAAAAAAAAGAATTTCTTGGTTTTTTCCCCAAAAAATGTCAATCTACCAAATAGTTTATGAAACTACAAATACATTTCAGTCAAAAACAAATACACATATTTAAAAAAACTTTTGCAACACAGCTCTTTTGATTTTTTCATCTTTTGTTAAATCTGGAAGAAATCCTAAAAAGGTAGCTGTTATATTTTTGATTCATCTTATTTGATTCATTTTATTCATCTTTCTTTTTGCATAGCTAACACTGTCTTTATAAGCTACTAGTTTCAGAGGTGAACAACCAATGTTTTTTTTTTTTTAAAATGAGTCTAATTTTTTTTTTAATTTATTTGTTTTATTAATATATGCACATAGAATGTTGTCATTAAATTCATAGTTTATATTTTACTTACAATCTGGTTTGTGCAAAAACTAGACAATTTTTTTAATGTTATTCTCTGCCACTACAATTGAGGAGGCTACTTTATCATGGCTACAACGCTCTCTTCAATTCTTAAATTAGGAAACCGACCTTGTTGAACAAGGTTGCTTTGCAGGGAAATAAGTTGAGTGTGGTACTTAGTGGTACCAGGGACTTGGTGGGGTCGAACTTGGTTGGAAATGTCTTGTTATCAAGTCTGTTTGTGAATTAGAAAAGGTTAAGTAATAATTTATTTATATATAAAAATGTTAAATTAAAAAGTTAAAAGCAAATGATGTGTAAGATTCAACTGAAGTTCGAAAAACTTTAAGATTTTAATCTTATAATATGATAATAAATTATTTTTAGAATTGAGAATTTTTTTTTTTTGTTTTTTTTTTCTTTTTTCTTTTTAACACAGAATCAAAACAAATATACAAAAAAATAAAATAAAATAAACAGATACAAAGATATATTCAAATTTAAACACAGAGCTAAACAAGTTTAGTTGAACTAATAAAGTTGCAGCCATTTTGAGGACTCCATAATTACTTGCTAAATTGTATCTTATCAGTAAAAAAATTAAAAATAAGCAAATTAGCATAACCATATGATTGGCTTTAGCATGCTGAGAGCAAAGGTGCCACCTCCAATATTAGTCAAAATGAACCTATTATGTTGTAATCATCAGTTATGAGTGTTACAATTGGATTAGACAAAGGTTCTAGTTAGGGTTAGAGTTAGAGTTTTTACAGAATATTTACAAAAAAACTTTTTTCTGTTCTCCTGAAAATTTCAACATGGATGTTACCTTTTGAGTAGCACTTTTTCCCTCTAAATTTTAACATAAATGTTACCTTTGGAGTAGCACCTTTTCCCTCTAAATTTTAACATGGATGTTACCTTTGGAGGAGCACCTTTTCCCTCTAAATTTCAACATGGATGTTACCTTTGGAGGAGCACCTTTTCCCTCTAAATTTCAACATGGATGTTACCTTTGGAGGAGCACCTTTTCCCTCTAAATTTCAACATGGATGTTACCTTTGGAGGAGCACCTTTTCCCTCTAAATTTCAACATGGATGTTACCTTTGGAGTAGCACCTTTTCCCTCTAAATTTTAACATGGATGTTACCTTTGGAGGAGCACCTTTTCCCTCTAAATTTCAACATGGATGTTACCTTTGGAGGAGCACCTTTTCCCTCTAAATTTCAACATGGATGTTACCTTTGGAGGAGCACCTTTTCCCTCTAAATTTCAACATGGATGTTACCTTTGGAGGAGCACCTTTTCCCTCTAAATTTCAACATGGATGTTACCTTTGGAGGAGCACCTTTTCCCTCTAAATTGGAAATATGAAAAAACTAAAAATCTGTCAATTCTTAAATTGCTAAATTTATATACTAATTCTTCAAAAATTAACTTTTTGGATGTGTGAATATTTTATTAAGTTTTTTAGGTAGCAATTATGGATATGTGACAAACTTTACATAAGTCTACAGTTATTTATTATAAAACAAAAACAAAAAAAACAAGATGGTTTTCTGAAACTTTTATTTAAAAGCATAGAGCTCTAAAGTATGAACGAACAATGTTTTCTTGTTTTTAAGAATAATGCTGCACTTTTAACTTCATCTTTGTTTTTCTATTCTTTCAGCATTATTTTAGAAATGTGTTTAAAATATTTTTGGTGTAATAAATAGCAAAATCTTTTTACTATAACAGTTTAAAATTTTTGTATTTGTTTCTAACACAAAAAGCTGTGACATTGTTTTCTTAATTTTTTTAAGTATTGTTTGTTATTAGGTTTTGTGTTCTTTTAGTTATGAGTTGTTTTTAAATTCTTTATCTTTTAAATTATTTCAGAAAAACTGATGAAAATAACAAATATATTGATCGATCATCACCTGATTATGAAAATGCTCTTGCAAAGCCATTTATTAATAAGATTCTACAATCTGATGCTGGTGCTTCCCTTAAAATTTCTCCTAGTGTTATAGAAAACGGAGGTAGTGTTACCATAGAATGGTTAGGAGTTAATAATTCAACTGAAAAAGACTTTGTAGCTTTTTATTGCCCTCCTGATGATATTTCAACACATTTCCTGGATTACTTTAATGTAAATAACAGCCCAACGTGGAGTAAAGGTTTTGGCAAGTGGACTGTTACTGTTTATAATATGAGAACTTCTTGCATATTTAAATATTATCGCAATGGTAATGTTTCTCAATTAGTAACAATCAGTAATGAGCTATCATTTCAAGGTGGACCTCTTAGTCCTTTACAAGGTCATCTATCACTTACAAGTAATCCTACTGAGATGAGAGTTATGTGGGTATCAGCAGAGGGTTTGTTTTTTTTTCTTATATTTAAATATTTTTAACTATTTAATAGTTTTGAACAATTACCAAAACTGTCAAAAATATTTTACATTAAAAATAGTTATTTACATATGCAAAAAGCATTTGTTTGTTTTATTTTTATTTATTTTTTTTTGATATTTTTTTGATCTACTTTCAAAACTCTAAATTGCTTAATAAGAGTTTTGACTAGTTTATATATGATGTTTTAATGTTTAGCATCTGTGTTTTCATACTTGTGTGATTTCAATAATGCCATTTTCTAATTTAAATATGGCATGGAAGAGTTAAAGCAATTTTTTAAAACTAGATGTCATTACTATCTTTAATCTATTTCGACTCAATACATGATCAGTTTAATGTCATGACCAGGCTGCTATATATTGCTTAAATTGTTTTAAAGAAATAAGTCAATAGGATCTGATGATATAAATGAAAATGTTTTAAAAGAGTCTTATGAAATCATGAAAAATATTCCTTACAAAATTTTTAAAGCATTCATTAAACAAGGATTTTTCCGAGACTTTTTCAAATTACCAAAAGTAATTTTTATTATAAATTTATCCAACTGTATAACAAATTACTAACCCTGTTCTTCTGTTTTTTTCCAACCCATCTCTGTTCTGTTTTTTTCCAACCCATCCCTGTTCTTCTGTTTTTTTCCAATCCATCCCTGTTCTTCTGTTTTTTTCAGTAATATTAGAAAAATTAATGAGCAACAGATATTTACCCAAATCTAGTTAACAATAAACTTCTTTATGCAAATCATTTAGGTATTATAAAAAAGAACTCAACTGAATATGCTCTTCCTTTTTTAACACGTTACATAATTAATCTTTCTAAAATCTAAAATTAACACTTTCATTGGTCGAAATCTTTTGACACAATTGTTCAATCCTAAATGCTATGGCATAACAGATCAAACTTGAAGTTGGTTTAAAAGTTTATCTTTTTAAATAAAATCAATTTGTTTTTAACAAAGATTTCCTATCATAAATATTAATAAAAATAAGATATGGTGTCTTACAAGTATCCATTCTTGAACCACTTCTTTTCATAATATGCATAAATAATTTACACTAAGTGTCCAATTTGAAGACCATAATTTTTGCAGATGAGGCACAAACTTGTTTCAGTCACATGAGATCTAAACATCCTTTTTAATTGCGATAACTTTTTAATATGAACAGAGAACTTTAAAAAATTTAATATTGGCTTGAAAAATAGAGTATTTTTAAATATTGATTAGAAACTTTTCCAATCAATATTAAAAATATCTCAACTATTAAATAACAAATACTGCCTGTAAATATTCCTGATATCTTTATTGACATCAATTATTTATGTCATTCTAAAAATTCATGTCATCCTAAAAAGAGAAAAAGCAACAAAATTTTCATGAGATTTTATTGATAAAAATCTATTATAGGAATCATATATTAATAATATTTCTAATAATGTTGCAGAGAGCATTGGAATTCTATACTAATCTAGAGTTGTTTTAAAAATAACCAAAACACAATTATACTACTCATTTATTCATTGTCGTTTAAATTATGCAAATATTATATACAGAAGTACAGATTAAACTAAACCCAAATCTCTTTATCAATATTTTTAAATTTATTATGAGAGCAGCGTGCTCTCATAATAAATTTAAAAAATTGTTTTTCAAATTCCAAACCACTTCTTAAAGAAATGAATGCCTTAAATGTTTATCATCTAAATGTATTTAATATTTTGTGCTTTATGTTATTTTAACTTACGTTTCTCAATGTTTTTGAAAACATTTAAAAAATAAAACTCCAAAACAAATATAATTTGTGTAATAATAGTATTCTAGAAAAACCTATTTGTATAAACAAACATGATTTTGTATATTTTATTGAGGCCTTTCTCTCTGGAATAAAATAGTACTGCCTAATTAAAAAAAAAAATTTATCTCAATTCACCTATTCTTTTTTTTTATACAATGTATTAAAAAAAAAAATTTAACAAAAAATGTTCTTGATTTTTTTATATATATATTTAATGGTTACATATTTAATATTCATTTTGTTAGGATAGTAAATCTTTATATTGTAATGGGTTTCATGAAAAGGTCATTACAATATTTTTGAAGTCTTGTTCGTAATATATTATAAATTATAAATCTTATTGTAAATATTGTTATACAACAAATAAAATAAATAAATGCTTTTAGACAACAATCACTGGATACACATAGTTTTTAAAATAATTACTTATTATATTTACATTTTAAAAACTTTTAAAATATAAATATAATAAGTAATTATGTGATTTTTTCAAAATACAAAACATTAATTCAAATTATGTTTACATAGCTATAAAGACTATACTTTAGACAGGTGAAGAATCAAAAACTACATTATCCTGATGATTATTAATTTTTATATTTTAAAAAATAATGTAAATAAAAAAAGTATATTCTACTTTCAGTAAATGGAATTGTAATGGTTCGATATGGGACAACTAAAGCTCTTGAAAAAACTTCTTACAAATCTTCAATGCAAACATATTTTGCATCTGATATGTGTGAACCTCCAGCAAATTCATCAGTGTTTATAGATCCCGGCTATATCTATGATGTCCTTTTATATGATCTGCATCCAAACACAAAGTACTATTACTCATATGGGACAGAGGGAGTAAGTATTCTTATTATTTACATTTGTTTGAGCTGCAAACATGGTTAAAAATTTATTTTGTTGTTATAATTGATGTTATTATTATACAATTTTCGTATAACATAACATAAATGTTTTTTTAGCACATGAGCGCCATACTGAATTTTACAACTGCAATTCCTGCTGGGGACAGTACTTCATACAAAGCTATATTTTATGGCGATATGGGTGTTGATCCTTATCCAGAGGCCGTTACCACAGCAAAGCTTGTGCATGATGAAGTTTTAAACAATGACATAAAATTTATTTATCACAATGGTGATATCTCATATGCAAGAGGTTATGTATGTGTTTTTTTATTTACACTATATTTTACTAATATTTATAAAATGAATCAAATCTGAATCAAATACACAATTTAAGTTTTCAAATATAAGCTATAAATTATCAATTAATAAATAGGCTTATATTTGGGAACAGTGGTTTAAATTAGTGGAGCCTTATTCTACCCTTGTACCATATATGGTTGGTATTGGTAATCATGAGTATGACCATGTAACTGGTGGTGAGAAAGATCCTAGTGGTGCTCCTGGAGATGGTGGTTTTCGTCCAGATTGGTTTAATGGTCACTCAGATTCTGGTGGCGAGTGTGGTGTTCCAATGTTTAAACGATTTCACATGCCAGACACTGGACACTCAATTTGGTGGTAAGAAATTGTTTTTGTTGGAAAATTTTAAAAAATTGCAGAATTACATCCATTTTGTACCAAAGTAATAGGTTACATCCCATTTGTTATTTATATAATAAATTACATTAATTTGGTTACTGATGTAATAAACCTAATAGAATTGAGAATACAAGGTTACAAAGTTTATATTATCAAGGTGATGGCGAGGTAATGAAATTAATATTAGTGAGGTAATACTGAGGTAATGTTGAGAAAATAAAATTGATTATAATTACCAACATTAACGTTGGTAATTATTATCAATGCTTTTTTTAAATATTTAAAAGTTGTGTTACAAATTTATATATGAAAATGTTCTCATAGTAAAAAGTTAATTATATGTATTATAATGCTTCATAGACCCTAATAAATTAAGTTCTATAAAAAAATACCTAATATAAATATAATATCAAACTTTTTAATTTTATGTTTTGAATTGAAAATAGATAAAATACTTTTACTATAGGTACAGTTATGATTATGGCTTAGTTCATTACATTATGCTATCTTCAGAGCATGATTATTCTCCAAATTCAAAACAATATATATGGTTAGAAAATGATCTGAAGAATGTTGATCGCAAGAAAACGCCTTGGGTAGTTGTTGGTGCACACAGAGCTATGTATTGCAGTGCATTACTTCCAGGTGATTAAGATGATAATTTTGATATTTACCAATGTAAATAATAATCGATAATTATCCATTTAATGTGTTTTTAAGAAAAACATAAACTGGTAATTATCGATTATTTTGTCATATTATTATTTCAAGTTCTTTGTATTCTGTGTATTCAGCTGTATTGTTTTTTATCTTGTTTTGTCTGGTTTTATTATATTATAGTGTATACAATATTTTGAAGTTAAATTTCTTTTTTTAGACGACTATATTGTTGCATTAAATATGCAACGCCTTTTTGAAGATCTTCTTTATATCTACAAAGTGGATTTAGCATTATGGGCGCATTATCACTCTTATGAACGCACATGCAAAGTTTATAAAAATAAATGCCAAGATGATGGTGTTACACATCTCGTAATCGGTTCTGCTGGGAGAAGTACTGACCCCGATATTTGGTTCAGGAAAGAATGGTCAGTTTATCATATCAACGATTACGGTTATGGAAAACTTACTGTCGTTAATTCTACAGCTATGTATTGGGAATGGATTCAGAACAAATCAAAAAAAGTTATGGATTCATTTTGGTTGACAAAATAAAAGATAACAACTGTTGCTATTGTGCAGTTTTTTTATTTGTGTTTCACGTTGCAGTTTTTAAATGTTTTGTTTGTTCATAATTTATAAAAATTTTTTGGGTTTTAAAGTTTTATCATGTTTTTTAAATGTAGTTATTTTTATACACATTTTTAATTTTTTTTTTAATCATTTTTTTTAGTATTATAAAAATTGTAATATAAATATAAAACAAAAGTTATTGTATTAGGCTTGTGGTAGGCAAGATCTCGTATCGTTTCGACAATTTTTTGTGTTATTCCTCGAGATATACAAGAATGTTGCGACACCTCAAAGAATAATGTACTTTAGTTTGAACGAACCCTTTACATAGGCTTTTTTTATAACTTAAATTTTAGCTGGGTGGTTGCATATAAGTTCATAGGGCACTTTATAAAAAACAAAAGATATGGAGAAGGGCAGATATGTAGAGGGGCATGGGCATGAGAGGGCCAGATATGCATTTAATTTTAAAGAGTTAAAAAAACTAAATTTTATTAATTACATAAATTATAAAAGCATTTACAAGCTTACCGTATTGTTATCTTTAATAGTTGTCATAAATTGGTACCGTATACTAAAGCTCAGAGCGGATTACCCATTTGGCAAACAAAGCAGTTGCCAAATTCGTAATTTTAGTGTGAAAAAAAATTATTGTAATTTTTTACTAGCGCTATTGTTCAGGGATTATCTTCTTTCGGATATTTCCGAAATTCCGGGTATTTTTTTCAACTATTAGATTTTTCGAATATTCAAAACATTTTCAATACATGCAAGTTGAGGTATATATTTTTAATATATATTTATTTTTTAAGCTTTTTCACTCATCGATCAAAGAAAAATTAAGAAAGTTTGTCAAAAAAAACTAAACTAATTTAGCTAAAAGTGAAATTAAAAATAAAATAAAGGAAAACGAATTCCGGATTTTTTCCGGATAATTTATTCAAACAATTTTCCGGATTTTTAAAATATGACGAGGATGATCTATGATTATTATATAAATATCATTTCGTAAACAGGAGCAAAAAGTAAGAATACATTTTTTAAAATTATGATATGTGTTCGACCAATCACAGAATACCATTGATCTTCGCTTTTTTGAATTGCATTATTTACTAATAGAAAGATTAAATAAGCATTCAAATTTTTTAAATGTTCATTTTTTTATACTATGGTTTTTCATTCATTATAATTCATTATGTTGTCAAGATATAAACTTGTAAATTCAATTAATTTTTGTATTAGAATATTGCGTTTCTAATTTAATTTTAAAATATTATTCTATAATATTAAAAAATCAAAATTAATGCATATTAAACCTAAAACTTTTTATAGGATAGTTAGTCTTGTTGGCTTCAGCGGTAGACAAGGTGTTTTTAATTTTCGAGACTTTCAATGATAACCATTATATTGTAAGGTGGTAGTACCCTTTAAGAGGAAAAAATAAATAATTATATGGGAACATTTATATTTTTCTAAAGTGTTAGATTAAATCTTCTCAAAAAAATAACAAAATTGTCTTACTTCCCTGTCAAATAATTATTTGAAAGTTACGAGATAAGGAATACGTGTGATTAAATATCCTTCACACTTTCTCAATATACTTGGAATTTTATTATTTTCTAAACCTAGTTTTATGGTGATTGATAAAATAACTTTAAGGAATTCCTGCCATCCATCTAAAACAAATTTAATATCAACATTGTTTGTTTCTTGATTTTTATGATGAAGCACCGTTGTTAGAAACTCTTTATTGTCATTATAATTGACCGTAGGATTCACCTTTGTATTCACCTTTTCCTACTAAATATACTGTTAAAAACAACTGCAATTAAATCAAAAGATGCATAAAAAATCAAAATAAAATTACTTATCTCTTTAGTTCATTTACTTCTAATAACAATGGGAATTTATCGTTACTGATTAATTTTCTAATTTGTTTTATGTTCTTAATCAGTTTAATATTGAAACCGGATTCCACACTTTTTTGTTCTCTACTTCTTAGCAATTGGGCAACTGCAATTATATTGCAATTACTTAGATATCATAACAAAATTGTTTAAAAAGACTTGATAATTAAACTCACAAGAAAATAATTTTATAAACATATTATGGGCCTCAAAACATTTAGGTTATGTAGTTTTAGTTAATGTTAGTTCAATTTATTCAAAGTAAAAAAAGGTTTCTTAACCTCAGTCTTTTTGAAAGAGATTTTGATTCATAGCAACGAGTTGCTTTGAATCAAAATCTCTTTCGAAAGTTTTCAAATCTAAAGAAGGGGCGATTTCACCACCTCTAATATTTCAAGAAAAAGATTTTATTTTGGCATAGCACCATTATTATGATGATGCAAAAAATTTGTTATTCTAAAATTATAATTTTATAAATTGATCATAGTTGCCATTTAATTGGATTGGTTATCGTAAATTTTAAATGTGATTTGCTAAATGTGGTCAATTGAAATTATCGTGTCATTTTTGCTCCAAGTGGCATCATTATCAATTTACTGAAATCGATTGAAACATTTGAGAATAAATGCTCATGTAAGAGTTTTATAAATTTGTTTAAAATGTTTAATTGGCGTTCGTGGTATATATTTTAAATACAAACAAATATATATTACGTACAATTAATTTGTACAATAATTAAACAAATATATATAACGTTCAATAATTTTGCTTTCTAAACAATATTTAATATTATTATTCATTATTATATAAACAACTTGATAAAATCATTGGACTTATATAAGGAATTATCGTATAATAATTTTATTAGAAGTATTTTGAAAATATAATAATTTAATAGTTTTCAGATATACATTTAAAACTAAAGTACGTTATAGTTTAACTTAAAAAAAGTTTTCTAAAATTTTCCTAAATTTTTGTATTTAAAAACGTTGCTTGATCCAATTGAATGCATTACTTATATTCGCATTTTTTTATCATTAAATGCTTACCATCGCAGATTGTTTATAGCCATTAAATGCTCACCATCACAGATTGTTTGCCACTATATTGATTAGCATGTTTAAAATACATCATTATAAAATGCAGGGATCGATATTTATTATGTCAATTGATATATTAGTTTTCTTGCATTTACCATAAGTGCCAAAATCTAAAACTCGCTTTGTACTACCTAAGTTTCGCACGGTACGCAAGTATCTCCCAAAGAAAAAGAACGCCTATAGTTATACCAACCTCCGATTGGTTATTCAAGCTGTTAAAGATTGATGGGAGCAAAAACATTTGGTGTACCAAGATCAACGCTATATGAAAAGATAAATGGAGTTCGAAAATCAAGCTCTGAGGGAAGAAAAAACAGTGTTTACAAAGCAACAGGAAAAAAACCGTTGGTAAACAAGCTTTTTTACATGGCGAATCGTGAATTTCTATTGACAAGCATAATGCGTATTTATATGCCAAAAAATTATATCATCGTTGATTACTTTAAAAAGATTTGCCTACTATAGTAGGCAATTTATTTCTTATAGTAGGTATGTTACAATTTAGTATCATGCCATAAATGAATGCAAAGTTTTAATACATATAGCTAAAGATAAAGCTTTTTTCAGGAAAAATATTAAAAAAATTACGCCATGTATACATGGCATAAATCTCACTTAGAACCATATGACTGGATTGTGGCCTTTAAGCGTAGACATCCTCAGTTTACACCGGTCCGGAAGGATTGTCTAAAGTACGTGCGGAAGCTTCTATTAAAGAATAAAGAAATTTTTTAAAGGTAGCGTAAAGGTTAATATAAACTTTAATAACTTTAATGGCAACTATTAATGCCTCAGAGGACAGTCTACAACCATTTGTGATTTTTAAGGGAAAACTTTTTTCTGATGTTTCCAAATTTCCGACAGGAACCTCTTTAAAATGTAGTACATCAGGATACATTGAACAAGATATTTTTATCGATTATTTGAAACATTTCAATAATCACCGTCAAAATTTTGATATGAAAAAATGCTTACTCCATTTAAATGGCCATAAAAGTCACATTTTTTGTAAGCTGTCGAATTCTGTATCCTCAATAACGTTGAAATAATATATTTAACTCCACATAGCAGCCATCCTTTGCAACCGCAAGACACACGTTATAATAAAATAAAAATGGTCAGAGATTTTGTCCAAAGGACTCTTTGAAAGATCATCAATCTCTTTACTTAGAGATCGATTTTATCTTGTTTTCAACAGAGTATGGGAAGAGATGGTTGTGAAAAGGGGACTTATTGTAGATTCATTTGCTTATTGTGGACTGTACCTTCTTTGTATCCCTGTAAAGAAACACGAATATAAAAAAGGGGGAGTTATTCAGAGATAACATTAATTTTCAGCAAGGAGATACAAACTTTCCGTTACTTAGAACAATCGTTTCTTCTCCAATGAAGATTTCAAACCCAACTTACGCAAAACCTCATTTTGCACACATTACACTCGTTAAAAACATTGAAATGTTGAAGAAAAAAGAGAAAAGAAAGAAAATAAAAAATAGAAAATCTAAATAGAAATGGGAGTTGTTTATTAAAAATATAAAGCAACTGGCTTAAAGAAAAAGAATCAAATAAAAGCAAGTGGTTCAAAGAAGAGGAAATCCCATAGTTTGAAATTATTATTAAATTAAATGCAACAGAGTACGTCAAAAGTTTATAACAGAAACAGTAAAAAAAAACAATCATTGCTCTGTGTACGGTGTGGCATGAGTGGATTCATAAGAAGACTAGCTTCAATACGTTTCTTGTCATAGATGGGCATGTGAAGTCTTCTTTTAAATCGGGATGTGCACAGAATGTGTCTAATTTGATAAAATATAATAAAACGTTACGTTAGCGTAATAGCTTCATAAAAGGCAAAATTGCCCCATATAAATGTGTAATACAAATTGATGTTCATGAGTATAAAGAGTTTTTTTTTTGAACTTTTAAACGATGTCGAACTAAGTATAGTTTATTCAATATTATCAGATAATGATATAAGGTAAAGGCGTATCTGGTTGAACAGACAAATTTAAAGCAGTAAAAGTTGCAAATTCGCCCCGGTCTACTCCCTGATTAATTTGTGTTTTGATAGAACTAGTCAGATTTATTTTTTTTAATTTGCACTCATTTTAACATAAAAAATCTTTTCTTGCTTTGATAACTCTAGAACTTACTTTATAGCGTTTACTCTGAGTCTACATTTTATAGCGTATACTCTGAATCAACATTTTGTAGCGCATACTCTGAGTCTACACTTT